GAACAATTGTGGACATAAAAGTGATTGCAATTAAATCATCTGTATGGGTGAGAGAATACTTTTTTCTATTATTCGATTTTTATTATTTTCATGAGATGATATTTAAAGGTCAACACGTACTTTTGTACTAAGAAGTTGTCAAGACAATGTGACACATTTTGTAAAAAATACATTACCAGTCAAAAGTTTGGACACGTCGACCTTTTAAAAATGATCAAGTAAGATTGTCTGAGCTTTAATTGGAGCACACAAGTTTCATCTATAAGGGACAGATGTATTTAAGTTGAAATCTATTTTTTCAAATACATATTTTTAATCACAATTTTCAGTTTGAAAGCACCTTTGCTGTACTTCCAGCAGTTTACTTACTGCTTGAGTAAATTGTTGTTGTCAATTTACTTAAGGAGAATTTTTCTGTTAGTTTCTCTGCCAACACATTATTCAGTTATTCAGTTTTTTTTTTTAAAAAAACTGCGTGGATGCCAATTTTGAGTCGGAACTGTTCCCATTTGGGACTTGTACAAATGGTGTGTTCCCCTGAGAATTACTTAAGTCAAATACTTGACAGCTCCTTTCTGTAGGCATTTTCTTCTGAGCACCACTCCATCCTGATTATAGGAGCTTCTGAAAGCAAACTGTTAATCTGCTAAGTGTAATAATTTTATGCTGGCAACCTCTCAGGCCCAAGTGAATATTTTATAGTCTTAATCTGATTTTGAGTATAAGCAATCATCAAGTGAATTTCTGCAGAGGGAGAGAGACATTAAAGTCACCATGTTCAAGTCAGCTTTTGAAGAATATAAATTGTTGTATTTTGCTAATTAAACAACAGCAACAAAAAAAAAAAAACAGTGTGTTTGTGTATGTGTTAAAGCACAAAAATGCAAACCTCAGCGTAAATTTGCTGTCAAAATAAACCAAATGTAATATGGAATGTGTTTATGCAGTAATCAAACCAGTTATAAAATCTATTTCACAAACGTTTACCTCACTTCAACGACTTCTGAGACCAAACAAATTGTTTTGAATAAGATAAAATCCCAAGAAAATGTTTAAAATATCTGTTTGAAAATAGTACAAAAAAGATACTTTTCTATATGTGCACCTGCACATGTATAGCTCTTGACTACGTTTTGCCTCTGGCCATGGGCCAAACAAGGGTCGATGTATCTCCAGCATGATCAACAGCGTTGCGTCTGGTGTTTTTATTCCACAAAATATTGATTTGCATCCCCGAGTTTATGTCTGTGAGTGTGTTTGTGGGGGTGACTAAAGATGAGCAGCAAAATAATGATAGGCCAAGCAAAGAAATCATGTTCTGGATGAGTGAATCTGACATAAAAAGTCAATTGTTTTCTGCAGCTCACTATGACAGATTTAGCCTAGAAAATACAAAACTTATGTGAGTTATAACTGCAGTTCATTTATAAGGCAGTGAGCACAAATATTTCTCAGTGTTTTTTGTTTTATTTTCTCCAGAATTTCAATTTTAGTGCCATACAGGAACTGTGATTATATTGCACAGCAAATTTATTGGCACTCCATGGTAAGAATGTACATGGTGACTAAAATCACATTTTATTGCGATCAAAATGTCACGCTGAACGTTTTTGAAAGATCCAAGCTCAGAGTAGAGAAAAAAAAATTATCATCAATTAAAATCTTTTAACTGTCTTGTCAAAACTTTCAAAAGCCTTCCTTATTTATTTTCCATTTGTTTTCAGACAACCAAAATATATAAGAACTTTTCCACTAAGCAGCTGAAGTTCTACATTCTGGGGTTTAAATATCACATCACTCGAGAGACTGTTTGTCCTGCATTTCAAAATGGGAAAGTCAAGAGAACAAGTTACACAATTAAAAAATGTTATGAACCTTTAAAATTATGTTGGCAGTTATGATGTTGTGGATTCAAACCCAAAACTCCAAGAAAGATCCCAACCTGAACCCAGCACCTAAAACCGCTAAGCTACCCTGACCTCTAGCTATGTGTGACATGCCTTTGCATGCAGCATTCACCTTCATCTGATTATATCCCATGAAAAGATATATTCAGATAATCAGATTTTTTATTTTTGTTGGTGAAAAATAAAAATAAAATAAGAGGCTGAATTTTTGTAAGCAAAAAGGGGAATTTAAATCTATATTTTTTACAAATTCAAACATACGTAAAACATTCAAACTACACTTCTATATGAAAATACAGAAATGCTCTTGTTTTATCATGATCTCACTCTGAAGAAAGGTTTCACCCCAGTGAGCTGCAACATAAAAAAGGTAAATATTGCTACACACTATTGATGTGACATAATTTAAATACTCTTTGCTCTCACCTGAAAATACACGCTTGTATCAAGCACAGAAACACCTTTAAGCACAGACACAAACAACTGGCTGTGTTCCCAGCTGCTGATTACATATCATTACCCAGTCTAAAGGGCAGGATATCGTTTCAAGACAAATTGGCACACCAGGAACACCAAAGGAAGTCTTTATATCTCCAGCAAACATGCCCGACCGGTAATGAGCAATAGTGTATTTTTACTCACTGCTAGAAACGAAACTTCAAACCTTCTTTATTTATTTCTTTTTTGTATTTATTCAGGGAGACGATAACTTTAGATTTTTTTGAATTTTGATGCAACACTTGTTGAGACTTTTGAAGCAAAAGATTAAAACAAGAAACAAGGCCAGACAGTAAAAGAGGACTGAGAGTTGAGAGATGAAAATAACAAGCGAGAGAAAGACAGGCACGCGGGGGAACATAATAGATACAGACAGATAAAACAAGAGCTGAGGCAGAGAAATAGCTGGATGTGCTCGAGAGTCGAAATGGGTATTCTGCAGACTTCTCTCTAAGGGTTATAACCTCCACACTACTATGATAAGGCTTTGGTAAAACAGCACAACAGACCTTCAAACTTGCAAGGCAGCAAAAGATGAGCTACTTTAAACTAAATGCGTAAATTAGTTGAAAATCTCCCTGCAGCTCAGAAAATAGACTTTAAAATACTATGTTTAGTTTATAAATCACTGAAAGGCTTAACATCAAAACATATTAAAGATCTGTTGTATCAACCTTCCAGACCACTCAGGTCTTCTGGTTCTGTTCTGCTCTGCATCCCCGGAATCAGAACCAAACATAGAGATGAGGATTCAGCTTCTATGCGCCACAAATCTGGAACAAAGTGCCTCTAGACCACATGTCAAACTCAAGAGTCCTGAGCCAAATCTACCCCGCCACAGCTTTTTTTTTTTTTAAACAAAATCAAAATCAGCATTTGGTTCTGTTACTGCATCAGAACCACTTTTATCATTTCCTCTGATTCAGATTATATTGATGGGTTGGCCCAAATGGTTTTCCACTTGGATCCGCTTCCTTTGAGGATCTCTGCAATTGGCACTCACTGAGAGTGTCTGTAATCAGAACTGTGACGATAATAATAACAATAATAATAATAATAATAGAGGAACTGAGTTCCTGTATAAGAAAGGAATTCAAATAATTGAGTTTTTGCTTTGAAATGTTAAAGCATTTTATTTATGATTTAACATGAGGTACACTGTGAAGGCACTGCAATAGTTATATAGTTAACAGTGTACCTTTAACATATAAACATATAAACATAATTGACCCCACCACAGCTTTTTATCTGGCCTTCGAGATCCTACACGAAACACCAAGTATGTTCACATATTATGTTATCAATCAAATTAATGCAGTTTTTATCTGTTTACTGCCAAATTATATCAATCAGTCCCTCCAGTCTCTTAAAAATTATCAAGGAAATTTACAGAAAAATCAACAAGTCACACTAATGTATAATTGGGAGTTTATTGGAGATTTTTCTCAAAGATTATCAAACTTTTCCTACTTGTCCTAAACAGCTGCCTCAGCCTTAATTAATGTCAAATTATAGTCCATGATCTATACAGCAAGTAATAAAAGTCGCATTCACATCATAAATAAGCACAAATATCACAAATATTTCCAAACTCATTGATTTTTATTGCACAAAGAAAAACACACAAGAAGAATCACAAAATCCTGGAGGAACTAAAAGGATGTTTAATAATATGTAATTTTAAGAATTTATTGATATGTTAACAGTTTGTGAACAGATTTTATTAATACATTCTGGTACAGCTGGCCCTTTATGAGCATTAATTATTGATTTGGCCCAAAACAAATAGAGTTTGACCGAAAACCAACCTGTATAGATTTGCTTTTGAAACATTATATATGAAACATTAATCAACATTTTGATGTGTAATGATAGTACTAGGAAAATTATAATGTTCACAGGTTTTCTCAATTGCTGACTATACAATAAAGATCTGGATTTTATTTTATTTCAGAAGGCTCTTAGCTATGCTGGATTTTATTTGGGAGTTTCATAGTAAAGGGAAACATATAATAAACTCTTCAGATTGTATGTGTAAACTTTAAAAAAAAGGTTTCCTTTTATATCCTCTTCATAATTTTGTTCTACTTTGGAAAAGATTCTAAAAAATATCCTATATTTTTTCTTTTAAAGTGAAGATTTTGCTAAAATTATTATTTTTTATGTTTTATTTTGGCTTTGACATCTTCTTTCTTTCTTTTTTTTTTACTAAACACAAATATATATATATATTTGTGTTTAAAGAGTGCAGGGCTTAAAAGTTTGGCCAGGGATGATGAGATGCTGTCTTTATCCATGCAGACTGAAGTAATTTCCTGGCAAGAAAAGAGAAACAGAAGGTGAAAACCAAGGTGAAAATGAAAAGAAAGTGGTTCAAAAAAGAGAGAAAGAACATCCAATTTGAATAGGAAAATAGCACTGAAATAATGCATGGCAAATAAGATGTATATATGAGGTGACCAAGGCAAAAAAAAAGAAAACAGAAGAAACAATGGGAGGCAGGATGAGCTGGGGAGGTGGATGTTCGGAGTGAAGTGGGAGGGAGTTCAGGAGGGGAGGAAACAAGGATACAGTTTAGAAAGGAAAGAAATGGAAGCAGTGTGTGTATGGAGGAATGTGACAGTGTTCAGTGTATGGAAGGTGAGCCGCTCCGATTGTGACATGCCAACTGCTACAACAGAGTGACGAGTTGACCAAGAGAGAACATCAGCAATAAAGGCAGATATCTCCTTCTTTCTTTCTTTTTTTCTTTTTCACATTAGCTCTCCCAGTCCGCATCCAGCTAATGGGTGTTTGTCCAGAGTGGCAGCAGCACTGATCGCTACTGTGAGGGCACACAGATCATAATGGAGGTAAGTCAGTTCTTCGGGGACTTGAAGGTATGGTTGATTGACTGGATTTAAAATGGAATAAATCATTACAGAGTCTGTTTGTTTACAGCTTGTTAGTTGCTCAAAGTTTTCTAACATTAGAGCCCTCCTAGCTCTTTGCTGCTTTCAGTGCACAAATTGTCAGTATTGCTCCTTTTTAACTTTTAGCTGAACTTTAGGCTTCTTATATTAATTATCAAGGACCAATATGGAGCTTAGTGAAAATGCCTCATTATTTACAGAAACCTCAGATGTTTTAGCTATGAATTAGATTTTATCTTTTATTTTTTTCTTGCTGTTAAATACTCCTGCTTGCTGTGGAGCATTAAATCACAACAAATGTTTGTGGTTTAATGCACAAACATTTGTGCGTTAAAGGAGGAGGAAAAACTACAGCAATGCCATACCTGTGTTCAGAAAGGAATACGTTCAGACACGTAGGGATTGTGAATTGCTCCTCATTGTGCAAGTGACAAAGTGTGTGGGTGAGTAAAACCCACTTGTTTAGGCTTGTCCTTTGGTCTGGTCTGTAATATGGAAGGGACAGAATCACAAGCATACAAGGATAGACGTGTTGTTTTCTTGGAATTTAACTGCAGAGTTCAGGAAGATATGATGTATTTTATTTGCAAAATGGTATATTCCTCATTTCTACACACAATTTAAGCTTTTAGTTTCATTAATGTAGAAAATTACAATCAGTGTAAGCTGTAATGACCTGCTGAAGAAGACCTAAAATAACTGTCCCAGATAACCAAACATAGCAGCATCCTCTCGTGATTGAAGGCTCTGTCAGGGAAGTGCAGCATCCCCTGATCTCTCTGAGGCTAACCGTAATTTGATATAAATGTTTTCTGCTAGGATTTGCGCACCCTGTGAACTCAAACACCAGTTTCTCGTGTCAGGTGGAAGACTCCAAAATGCTAAACTAACTTGCAGAGTTACAATTGGCATTACGAAGGTGTTTTAGGCTTTGATTTTAGAGCTGAGCACAGGTATCGTCTGCAGTACATACTTCCAGCTGCTTTCGAAATGATATAGACTGAAAGTGAGCACATTGTACTCCCATATTATGCCACCCAGATACACACACACACACACACCAACACAGCTTAGGAGGAAAGGAGGATGGCTGCGCTAAAGAATGACAACCTTATCAGAGTCAGCAGCTTGGAGGTCAGAGGGTCCCAGTGCCAGAAAAATCATTATTTCTTCTTTTCCACCACATTATGAATATTGTGAATACTGTGATGAATTTACTTCATCACAGTATTTAATGAAGTAAATTTTAATAAGCAGAGAGAGGGCTTTGTGATTGTCAGATAAATGCCAACATACATTTTAGAGAGATTACAAAAACAAAAACTTAATTTACTTCAAATAAAATTGTAAATTAAAACTTATTATTGAGTTATCATAAGTATAACTGGCTGCAGCACAAGACTGATAAGAAAAATTTTGAGTTTATATAAAACTGAGTAAATTTGAAAGCATTTAATTTAGTTGGCTTGAAGTCATTCATTATTTTGTTAAAATTATTAGGTTAATAGTTAGCGTTGAGATGTGTGGTGCTTTGCGCTCAGCATGTGACTGCAACATTTTTCCATGCATGCACAGTCAGCTAATTTTGCTCATCTAGTTTGTCCTAACATGTACAAAATAAACAAACTCTGAGAATTAGAACATGACATTCATTAACAAACACCGCATGGTTAAAAAGCTCAGCTCTCTCTAACTGGAGCATCATCAGCTAAACTAGTGAAGGCATCAAATATTTCTGAAAATTTAATCAAGTTATTAAATCTATTATGGCTTGTAATTCATTTCCCTGACAACCACAACTCAGATTGGTTGTTCATTAAAATCAACTTGGGCAGGATTGAGAACTTCAACTTCAAGCAAGTATTTAGCACTCCTGCTAAACTAGCTAAAGCTGAATGCTAACTTAAATTTGTGCACCATCACAACTTTTTACAGGCGCAACATTTTGAACTTTTAGTAATACAAACCCTAACATATAACTACCATTCAGCTGACAATAACAATAAAAATCAACAGAACCAATGTCAGTTACAATCTTATTTTAATTAATTTCATTAATATTCCAAAACCTCAAAAATTATTTTTTGTGAGCATTTCAATGACAATTATTCAGTAGCCTCTATCACACACATACTCAGAGATTGCATAAAGCTATGAAATGTGGCCTTTAATGTGGCCATAGCCCTTTTTATTTCACAGAAGTCATGGAAAACAGTATATATTCATGGTTAATACATGAAGAATGTCTAAAAATAAGGCTTCTTGGTACACTGCTCCTGCAACTTTTCTCTGATGGAAGAAACACTCAATAAGTAAATATTTTATGACAGCAGGGCTGACCTTGAACTGCTGAAGCAAACCAGAGAAATACATCTATTCATAACCATTTAGGACATCTAGTGCATTGTATAACTGTAAATTACCCTCAGAAGGCCTGATGTAATGATATATTTTGTAGCGGCAGATGCATTACTTCAAAACTCTAAAACCTTTCAGATGTTTTTTTTTTTTTTTTTTTTTTTTTTTTTTACTTCAGGCCTTCCTGTACTTCTCTGCATTCCTTCCCATTCTTCCAGGGCTAAATGCTCTCATTTAGGCTCCATTAAAATGCATTTTAAGCTTTATCCTAACTGACAAGGTTATGCAAATATATGCACTTTAGAAGCTCTACTTCGTCAGCCACACAAATCTGGCCGGTGATTCACAGAACCTCCTTATCTATTAACACCCAAGGAGGTCGATCGTTTAGACAACCTAATGTCTCATCTGGATGCACATAACGGTGTTTGAATGCAATCTAATTTCAACAGGAGGGTCCTTCACTGAAAGCTGGCCCCTTATCAAAGATTCAGTTATACGCCTGCAGCAGAACATGCTGAGACCAAAATAATGAGTTATAAATGTTTACTCACTGGCTTAGGATTGAGTCTTTCTGCGCACCCTGAACAGAGGAAACATTGACTGTATGCTGGGCAGCAGTTATCAATATATAATACAAGTTTAGCCGCACAGAATACAAATGTCTCTCACCCTCCCCGTCTCTCCATCTCTGTCTCTTACTCTTTCTGCCCATGCTCCTCACTCTGTGCCTGGTACTCCATCTCCTTCACTCTGGGGCACTAATGAGTGTCTGGTATTCTGCACTTCACCACTGAAGCCCCATTCATGCTCAATCTCCTTTACAATGCTCTAAAAGGATTACCCAATTAGCTGATATTGGATGCCATTGTGTGTCTGTGTGTGCGTGCGTGCGCAGGCACATGTGTACGGGAGTGTGAAGTTGGTCGCCAGATAGACATGTTATCTGTGAAAGTGAAAGATAGATGACTGTCCCTAACCCACACTTCATTCTTAGTTGATTTTCTGCTGGAGGCCATATTACTCATCCACGCATCAGTCCTGTGTGAGAGAGACAGAAACAGAAAGGGAGAGAGAGAAAAACAAAAAGAGAAAGAGAGACAGTCAGACCTTGACATGCTATTGAGAATGACAGAAAAAGAGAGTATTAGCTCTCAATAATTCAACCTAGCAGCCCTTCAGTCTCCTATGTTGTATCCTTTTTGTTGTCAAATATGAGCTCCTCCCTGTTCTTCTATTTTTAAGTTTTTAATTGACTTTGTGACGTCGTGCCTTCGGGGTGGGGAGGCTCTGCGGTACCTGTAAATCATTAGTTAGTTTGTGTTAACAGATTGATTGCCGTTATCTAATGTGTTACATCACAACAGGAGGAACATGTGCAGCATTTTATATGTGACTATTGTAGTCTATATTAGCAGAACACTGTTACAGTTCTTAAGCTCTTCAGATATTATTCGGTCATTAAATATTTGATTAATTTTTTTTTATTCATTCAAAATAAAATAAAAGATATAAATTAATTATGTTTTATTCTTCCTCCGAGGAAGCTAAAACACATTTTGAAAGAAGAGTAAATTTTATAGAATTTTCTCATATGTTATATGAGAAAAGTGGAAATCCACTTTCCCTCTATATGAGGGACACTAATATGAGGGAAAGTGGATTTTTTGTATCATTACTTGAAAATCAATCAACAATTTTGTCAGAATTTTCATTCTGAACTGTTCGGCAAATATATTTCCATAAAATGAATATTAAATAGTCAAAATATTTTAGTTTAACTACAAATGCTTATGTAGATTAAGCCTTCAACTTTGGACTTTAATTCAAAACAACTGTTGCATGAAGTTCAAGCTTGAGACTGCAGACATACACAAAGAACAATAAACTGAGATTGACCTAAAAAAACAGACATTGAACTAGATAGATTATACATGCATCTGTTAGAAATTACCATACAGACAGTGTGAATTAAAGCAATGCCATCTGGCGTAGTGGTGGTGTACAGAGGTACAGTGACAACAGGTTTTTATGGTCATTGTTAGACAGGTATAAATCCACAAACTTTCTTACACACTATTCCCTGTTATTGTCTGTGTTAATCGATTGGCCATGCTGCATGAAAGTGTGTGTCTTTCATCGGCTAGCAGAGGGTCTTTTGTCAGCTATTCTTATGGAGGTGTGTGGGGAGGGGGTTCAGGATTTTGTGTCAGGCAGATCAGCTGCGGCTCGAAAGGCAAGGTCGACACCCCCACCCATGCTGCCCCCAACACACACACTTTCCCGCACACAATCAGATATTCAGTGAGCGCAAATATCTTTTGTCCAGACAAAGACAGACCTGGAGCCAGTCAGATACGAGATTAGATATACGCAAGCGCCCACACATACACAAATACGCGCATCCCCACTTCACTAGAGTTTCTGAATCAAAGAATGCCCCCTGAAATCTAGTACCTCAAACATATTGTCACGAAAAAACTGGAATCAGAGAAAATACAAAATCAAGTATATATTTGCATCAAATAGATGTGAAAACAACTACCTGCGAAAGCAAGTGAGTGGAAGTGTTGCTGCTCAGACTAACGGGCTTCAATAGGACTGATCGCAGAACAAGTGCAGCCAGCTGAAAGGGTGAGTGAAGAGCACAGATGAGAAAGACTGAAGCAGACATACTGGAGAGTACTCAAAAAGTGGGTCAAAAGATTCTGTAAACATTTTATGAATAAAGGCCTCAAACGGCCTGATGTAACATCACAGAAACTTTAGTGCAATTCACTAAGTTCAACTTAAAAGAGTGTTTTAGTGTATTGTTTAAAGGGGCAATATTGTGTATTTTCCAGCACTCAGAGCTCTCTCTCTCACTCTCTCTGTCTATATATATATTCAGCCCATCCTCACAACAGTGCTAAGCCTATAAGAACATTCTTACCTGAGTTGCACTGAGAAGTACTTCATATGATGAGCTCAGCGGATACACAGTTCCATCAGGTGCTAATTCCTGCTGGTGCTAGTGTGAAGAAGTTATGAGAGAGAGTTGCAGGGAAGAGGTGCTCTGTAAAGAGGAGAGGCATTGTGGAAAATGTGGTGCTCTGAGAGACCAAGCGTTTAGACATCCCCGAATGATTGATACGGGAGATTTTAGGATTTCCCAAACATGCATGAAGTAATCAAAGCTACAGCTATGTTTTCCATAAGGGAATAACTATATAAAAGTACACAAAGCTAAAAAAGTTGATTTTACACATTTTACAAATGTGTTAAAAAGTGTAAGTGGAGAGTGGTTTACTTTTTTCCATTCAGGTGCTGTACATTCTGTAGTCTACTGTGTTGATTAGGTTATACTTTTATTCTACGAAGAGTTTAGTCTGTGTTGAACTTGTGGAGACACAAAAAAGTGTCTAAAAACCATGAGTTCTAATGGCTTGAGTTAATAAGTCTGGAACAGTAGTAATTTTCAGTAGTAGTGATTTATTTAACATTCAAATATGGTCCTGCTGTTTGGGGAGAGAATGCATCAAATACCGCACAAGGGCTGACACAAAGACAGCACACTTCAGCAGACAAAGAGCGAAAAGATAGAGGGCAAGCGCCTTTTTTTCCTCCTTCAGATGAACTGTTTGTTCAGGGTGGGTGCAGGGCAGCAAGTGGGATGGATGGGTGGAGGGAGGGACTAACGGGATGGGGGAGAGGGAAGGATGAATGGTTATTACACAGTTAGTCAATGCACTAACAGGGGAGTATGCAGAGAGAAGGTGGGGGTGAGTTGCATTGAGGGTGTAAAAGATCCTTTGTGAAAGCTGGGAGTTAATCACTTGAGCGGCACACGCCGGTTCTATGTCACATGTTATACACCAGCTCCCCAGGGAGGAGAGGGGAGGCGTTTCACACACACACTCGTTTTGGTGCACACAGATACACAACTGAATTTCCATATCAGTTATGATGCAAAACTCGGCACAAGCTGACTAGACAAGCTGGAAGACCCACCCCCTTTTATCTGGACGGTTAGCAGACCCTCCTGGCCGGGGTGGTAGTGTTTGTATTTGCACCTCGTCCATTCATACATACACACATGCCTGGCTGCTTGTTTCCTTCAGGACTGGATGGATGACTCTGTAGGGGCTTGGCAAGAGATAGGTGCTTAGTTTGGCCTGGCAGTAAGTAAAATCTATTGTTTCACTACACCGGTTCATTGTTGGGGCGATTGCTGATGTCTGAGAGTGATAGTGTGGTTTGTGGATTTAATGGCAGACAAGCTCAGTAAGACATAGTCATGTCAGAAGCTGTTTACCAGAGTGACAGGGAAGACTATTTTCCAGTATATTTGACCTGGTCATAATTGTAACTTTCTGCAGTGACTGAGCATGTTTTCTTTTTATTTTCTTCTAGAATATATTGACATTTTCTGTACTTTCCTTTGACTTTCACTGAATTTTTAATAGTTTCTACAACACAGTCTCACTGATGGTGCTGTGATTCTCCTCATCATGACACATGAGGTTTGTCTTTACACCTTTCACCTCTTTTTGTTTCGTGGTGATAAAAGTCTTCATCAGCTCTCTTTGTGCCTTTGTTCAAGAGTTTCCTTCTCACACCGTGCTCAGGAAAGTGGACAGTGAAAGCTGTTAGGTTGCAACCCCGTGTCAAATAAAGTGTACACAAATATGTTCCATGCTTTGTTGTTGTGGCTATTATAAAATACTTAAAGCCAGAGGACCAGGTGGTTCAAAGAGCAGAGATCAGGCAGCGAGAAGCCCTTTGCCACGAGAACTCACCCACAGAGCTGACTTCTCCCCTGTGGGTTAGAGATCATGATAGTAACATCTGTGATCTGTTTGCTTTGCAAAAGGAGGTGGAGAGAGTGGGACAGCATGAATAGTAATAATGGTAATTCAATGGATGAATGTATTGGGAAACGAAGCAAAAATACAGACACAGATTTGATTAGTTTGGTTAGGGTTAGTTTGAATGAGTTATATTTTAGGTTTGATAATTATGCCTTAAAACTACATTAAAAGTACATTTTCATTTAATATATACATATAGAACAATCTTTTTTTAAAGATTTACCAACATCTTATTAATGTATATTGATATAAGTAACAAAAAATATAAATACATCTGGTGTTTTGTCCTTGCCAGAAGTCATTCAGAGGGCAGCTACAGCCAAGTATTGAGTTGTTGGTGCCTAGCTTAGTGGCCAGTTTGTTTTCAGGAAAGCCATCCAAAAGGTTATTTGTCAAATTCTACAGCAGCAGCTTGAATTTAGTTGCACAAATCTAGGCAAAAAGCCAATGTGGACTATTTTCAGCCAGTTTGTAATGCAAATGCAAGCACATCTGTTTCCTCATCAAATGCTTAGTGTTAAATAACAGCAACTACTGTTAAATAAATTTTTAAAAAACCTAAAGAGAAAAGTCAAGAAAAGTCAACAGAAGAGAAAGTCTTCTGCTGACAGGTTTGATACACTTTACAGTCATGTTGTTAAACTGTATTCTTTAGCCTCTATATTTGAATGTTTTTAATCTAGATGTTTTTTGATTACCTACACATTTTCAGAGAAATGGTTTTTAGTGTTCTTTTAAGACAATTCTGCTCTGACATTAACATTTACTTAAAATTGGTGTTAATGTTATTGTATTTAAGGAATTTTAATGATTTAATTGCTGTATTCCTGTTCTTTGGAAGACTGGCTCTACAAAACATAACTTCAATGAATGACGGACCTGGTTTGTTTTCTGCTGTGAATTCTTTACAATTTCAAGAGTGTCCAACAGGGCATTATGGGGTCAGAGCCTCCCAGAAGCTTAATGTTAGCCAGGTCCATGATGTTGCCATCGCACTGAGTCTCACCTTGATTCCTCAAATGATTTTTATTGTTATTGTGACTATGGAGGTGAATCTTTGTCTCATTTGATCATAGAAAATCTTTCCAGAAATTATTTGGCTTGTCCTTGTGGATAATTGCAAATTTTGAATCTGGTGTTGACATTGGCAATTTCTTCATCAGCACCCTCTAAGCCAAGAGTCTTCAAGCATAGTCCTCTTGAGCCAATTGTGAAACAACTGTGAAATGCAGTCTTGGTTCAACACTAGAGAGATTAACAGGCTGGATTACAACCTCAGAATGTCATAAAGTTCTGTGGAGGCCAGATAATCAACCATTTATTTGAATCAAGCGTATTGGACCAGGGGTGCATCTAAATGTTGCAGGGCAGTGGCTCTCAATTACTGGAATTGGAGACATTTACTCTAAACCTTCGCTGATGTTAAACTCCGTCCACTGTGAATAGTGACAGTAATGTTCTAATCAAGAATCTTCTCGCTTCTAGTTTCATTGTTTGATGTTTTTAATGTAGATGTTTTTTGATTGGACGTTTGTTGTTCTTGGACATCCAAATCAATACAATCTTATCTGAAGGGGACAGTTTTGGTAAGATGGTGGAAACTTGGCTATGATCCCACACAGACATCAAAACAGTTTCAGAAATGGACATACAAGGTAATACTAACCTTCTGGAATAGCTTCCAAAATGCAACATTTTGGAAAATGTATGAATCACTTTTAAAAGCTTGGTTCATCTCAGTAAGCCAGCTAATTTAAATATGTTCTACCCACTCTGATAAGAAGAGTGAGCAAATATATCAGCCAGAACAATGCCAGGACCTCGCTGATAGCTACAAACAGTGATTGAACTGTGACTATAAAGTTTTTATGTCCCAGAGGAGTATCTAGAATGTGCTCACCTGTAACAAAACTGTAACTCTGTCTTTTGAAACAATCAAGATTAAAACTGCACCTAAACTCAAAGAATGAGCCAGTTTGGTGTCTGCACAAAGTAGACACAAAGATAACTTATAAAGGAACAATTTTTATATTGTTATGAATAACTTGTCACAAGTACCACATAATTCCTCCCAATAAATCTGTAGACAAAATATGTCAAAGATATCAAACCAAAATCTCTCCCAGAGTGGATGATTAACTACAGTTTCAGATTTCTGACGGATTTTAAAGTACTTTTTAAAGACATGATTTTCAGACTTTTATGTGCAGTAGGTAGTTTGTTAGCTCTGACAACCAATGTTTTTGTGCAAATTTCTTTCCTTTTAAGCCCATATTAAATTATACAGAACATTTATAAAAAAACAGCCAAATACCAAAGACAACCCTTCAAACACCTTCCATAAATCTAGAAAAACTAAAGAATACTATTATTTTTGTTTTGTTTGAAATTGTTTTTAAGTATGTAACAAAGCATAGACATATATCTTGATTGATTTTTGTCCTGTTTTTTGTTTGTCTCACAGATGAGGCCAATATCAGAAACTTCCTGGTGTCATGAGACGTGTCACCCACACAGTTCTTTGTAAGTTTTCCATCCGGACCTGTCAGCACCTGTGCTTGCAGGACCATGGGTAGCGTCAGCAGCCTTATTGCTGGAAACAGTCTGAACAACAAGCACTGCAAGGCTTCTGACTATCGGTTAAAGGAGGGGACAAATATTCACAGGAAGAGTGGAGGGTGCAATCTTGATGGCTTACTGAAGTGTGGCTTTGCTCAGACTTCCACTCATCACTCCAGAGGCCTCTCCCACTCTAGGTCAGGAAGAAGCGAAGACTTCTTTTACATTAAGGTAAGATACTCTAAGTATGAATGAGAATTTCTTGTACAGTATGTGCAGAAGCATTGGTTTTAGGGGAAATGTTTTTGTGTGACTTAAGGTAAACCATAAACCGAGGTCTACGCACCACAGAGAGAAATCATTGGAAGATGTTGTGAGTAGAGACAAGGACTCTGATGGACGATCACAACCAAAACTGCTGTTCATGCCAGGAAAAATTTTAGAAAGGGTGAGTTTGGAATTATCCTGCATGTTTATTGATTAAAAAAAACATACTTTACCTGAACTTTTACATTCTAATCTATGAAGCATTCAATGATTCTCAGTCACAACTAAAGAAACCAGCATAGCTAGCATAAATGTTCTCTACCACCTTGAAAGGTTCACACTTGAAAACCAATTAGCAAAACCTTATGTTTAATAAGGCTGCAGATGCTATGCATACATGCAAAAGCAAACTTCTTATCTTGCAGTTTCAAAACTCTCAGGCCAGTGACCCCCAAAGACATTGTAAAGGACACTCAAGCTCCCAGAACTCTGGTAGGGGTGCCAAGCTTAAGATGAACAGCCACCAACCCACCTGGGGGACTGAGAGTGTGTGTGTGTGGTGGAGGGCCAAGGGTTGGGAGGGGTGGTGGAGGAAGGACCATTGTAATTATATATGTACGTGTGTGTGAGTATGTAGGCCACTGCTCCCTATACACACCTGGACATTACCATCATCACATTCTTAATGCAAAGGCTTTAAGGCCATGTGAATTGTGGATAGTTGTGTTGGTGCAGAAAAGGATGATTCCCAAAGTGTTCTCACAGAATCAGGAGCGTTAGACTGTCTAAACGTTCTCAGTGTACATCACCATCAAGATTTTGTTTCACTAAAACAAAGGGCCAAGCACAACCCCTGGAAAACAATCAAAATCACAGTCCTTTGTCCACCAAACAGTTGGAAAAATGCAGTCCAAAATATATTGGCAAGCCTCATCTATTGGATTGCAAGACAAGGAAACATGATTTATGAATATGTAGATCAGGTCTCAACACCATGTTCCAAATTATTATGCAAATTGGATTTAAGTGTCATAAAGATTAAATTTTTTGTTGTGCTATTAAATGTATATATGTTATTGTGTGTCAGGGCTCTTTGAATCACTATTATTAATTTCAGAGAGCTGGGTTGATTAGTTTGTCTGGTGAGCTCAATTAAAGAAAATCTACATAAGGATGATGGTGGATGGCCATCACGTCCCAAAATGGCTGTGACGTCAGCAAGGAGGTGGTGGAGTCATTCATTGGGCTGAAATCATGTGTAGAGAGCTAATCGGCCCCATCAGAGACCCCAAAGGTGTGAAAATGACCTCAGCAAAAAATATGGACTTTCTGACTGATAACTTTCTTTCATGGTTCAAAAAGAAGAGCCGTACCTTTAGTAGCTAAATCATCTTCATGCATGACAATCCGCCATCTCATGCTGCAAGGAATACCACTGTGTCATCGGCTGCTATGGGCATAAAAAGGGATAAACTCATGGTGTGGTCACCATCCTCCTCTGACCTCAACCATATTGAGAACCTTTGGAGTTTCCTGAAGCAGAAGATCTGAGGGTGGGATGCAGTTCATATCAAAACAGCAGCTAGGAAGGTTTTCTGACATCCTCCAAAGAAATTCAAGCGGAAACTTTCCACAAACTCAAGTTCAATGGACGCAAGAATTGTGCAGGTGATATCAAAGAAGGGGTCGTATGTTAACATGTAACTCTGTCTGTTAAGATGTTTTTGATTGAAATAGCTTTTGATTTTAGTACATGTGACCACATAATGCTGCACATTCAAAGAATGATCGTTTGCAGTTCTTTGTAATCCATAAAATGTTTAGAAAATCTGCTGTGCATAATAATGTAGAACAGTGCATTTTGAGTTTTTATTTTTGAAAAAAATACTGTTCTCATTGGGAGCTTTGTTCAGTAAAGTTTGATTTATACTATAATAGTTCATGACTTGACAATTATACTGACCATCATTTGCATTGATCATTTAGTAAAATCTTAGAAAATATCACTTGCATAATAATTTGGAACACAGTGTAGAGTACAGAGCGTCCATGCTTTATACTAATGCATCCAGCACTTTGCATTGCATTTAAGTTCTGACTCTGAAGACATCTAGATGGTGACTTCTGCACATTGTGCAGTGCTGCCCCCCACTGTGTGATTTTTTTCCATGCTGTACTTGGTGCTTGCTTTGTTCATGATACCACAAACATCTGACCATGGGATTCAGAGAGGAAATTTAATGAAAGGACCTATTTCACAGATGACATCCCATCACTGTACCATGCTTGAATTAACTGAGCTCCTGCAAGTAAGCCACTTTTTCACAGATGTATTTTGAGAACAGAGCATACACAGGTGTGGAATTTTATTCACCCGTGGCTATAAAGCTGGTTGTAATACCTGAATTAAATGATTTGGATGGGTGCATGAATGGTTTTAGCAATAAAGTGTATATTGTTCAGGAAGGAAACGGGTTCTGTGTCCCAGAGATGAATGTGTTTTTGTGAATGTGGGTGTCAATTCAAAAGTCCCGTTGAAGATGCTCGCGAAAGATGGTAACAGAGTCATTAGCCACAGTAAAACAGGTCTTGTACTGAGATCAGCTGAAAGGCCATATATCCAAAAGCAACATGAAACTCAGATCAAAGTTTGCAAGTTTGCTTGGGAAGAAATTCTGTAATTTTTAGAGAAACATCCCAGTCCGATAAATCTAAAATGAAAGTGTTTTAGAGTTTTAAACATTATATCTGGAGAAAAAAAAGGTTGCTTTCAAGCCTGGGAACATCATCCCAACTGTGAAATTTAGGGATTGGCAGCATCATGTGAGAGTGTTTCACTGCCGAGGGTGATGTTGTACTTCACAAAATAGATGGCTTCATGAGAAAAGAATAAGGTGACAAAGTGTTGCTCAAGAGATCAGACTGGAAAGCACAATGAGGTCTTTGAAATGGGCAGTGACCCCAATCATACTACAAAATTTGCCAAAGGGGATGGATGATAACTCAGTCAGTGTTGTGGGCAGATCATTACAAAGCCTTGATCTCAGTTATAAAATGTAAGCAAACTATCGTAACATTCTCAGTTGCACCAATTCAAAATTCAAACCCTGCTGCATCTGACACATCTGTATGTTACAGGTCCCGAGTGTCAGGACTTCTGTTACAGTGATGAGCACTTTCTGAAGGATAATAAAATAGAAGTTACCAATGATGACCGAAGCACTGCCAGTAGCATCCAAATTGTGTTTTTCTTTGTTAATAAACATTTTACAGTGTACAGTATTAATGTTTTACATAACAATTGTCTTATAAACCCAGTTTATTTTTCTCACAGGTAATAATTAACTTCAGACATTACCCTTTTCACATTTCCATCCTTCACTTAGATGAAGATAACCGAGGTAATTATCCTGTCAAACAGGATAAATCATTTGTTTTAAAGCTTTACTTCATTTAGCTCTATATTAACTGGTCTACTCATTGAAATGTACTTGATTTTAACTGAATACTGATCAAAAGTAGCATTACAAGATTTATAAAATAAATACATAATTTAACTTAGCATTGATCACCTTTAACCTCAATTCCCATACTTCATGAACAAAGAATAGTTTATCTACCTTTAACTTTGGCTGGACTCACTTTACTCTCATGCTCTGAGCTGCTTTATGAGTCAGCACGTAACTTGTACTGAATATTATTCAAACAAAAGCAAAAAAAAAAAAAAAACCTCTTTCCACCAAGTACTGACCTGAAGGATAATACAACAGAAGTCAGCAATGACAACCGAAACGCTGCCATTAGAGTCCAAATTGGTTTTGAGGCAAACCAGAACTCCACCCCAAAACCAACCTGGAAGTAACGCCCCCCAAACAGGTTCTGCTGAGCCACTACCTTCTTTCATCCCAACTTCAAGAAACCACAATAGATGCAGGCAGATTAAAATGCCAAAATGCTAACAAAATGTAATTCCTTCAATATTTTTAACAAAAGGAAGAAATTATATATGAAAATATTTCAAAATGATAGAACAAACAAAATAATGTGGTGGCAGTTTTAGGTGCTCCACAAGTGCAGGTTTAAAAGCATCCAAAATCCCATATATTAAAGATAGTTTAAAAAAAACTTGCTAAATAATTTTCTTTCAAGACAGTTTATATAAAAATCTCATTTGAACCAGCAAAAACTTATTCTGTAGCTTATGAGCCTACATGTTATGTGCATTTCCCCAATGCATTAATAGTAAGCGCTCAAGTTCCATTTGAGGTCTCAGTCTTATGCAATACACTGACCCAGAAAATTGTTGCTATAAAAAGGACTAATTCAGTCAAATGTTAATTGTTACACTCAGCTGCAGCTAGCTATCATTAGCCCAATAGTAAGCATTCAGACTTAAGAACGGTGCAAATCATCTGACTCGATTTCTAAAAAGTGTATTCTTAGAAGTTCCACAAGTTATGCAGTCATGTGGAGAATGGAAAAATAAACAGAAGGCCCTATAATAATTAACAAATAACAAACATTTCTCATAGCTTAACTTAGATCTTTATAGTGTTTTAATCAGCTATATTAATGACCTAAGAATGCCCCGATCTTCTCAGAGAGGCACTTTCTGTGCCAGGAACACATAAGCAAAAGCATTTTTCTCAATAGGTCTTTATTCCTCAGAGGACGGACAGTACAGACAAAAAGGGGATAAGAGAGAGAAAGAGAGAGATCAAGGGTTGGGGAGAATTTGACCGTCTGAAAGAAAAAACACAAAAAGGCATTCCAGCCATGAAGTCAGTGAGAAGGAATGCTGAGCTCACAAGCCTTGCCTCTTACACTTCAGCAATAGCTCATATTATTAATATCGTGGAGAGGGGCTATTCATCTTCGCTCAGACAGCATATGGAGGGGAGACTGCAGAGGGGAGGAGAGGAGTACAGAAAGAGCAGGAGGGGAAGTATGGTGCTGTGGTACTGCTGGTGACAGCCTTGTGGACTATAGGTTCACTCCAAAAAAAGTAGTTTTCACTTCTTTAGTCAATACAATGAAATTTACTTGCAGTTATAAGTGGCTCACATAAGAGTCAGCCCATAGTACAGCAGGTCTCAATGCATCACTGGTTCCATTTCTGATGTGAGATGACACAATGAAAAGCAAAAAGATTGGACACAGCTTCTGAAAATAACTCTATTAGTAGAAGTTTAAAAATTCTTTAGCTTGAAGGATAAGAGCATCATTTATCAAATCTTCTCTAACATGGCATCCTATTTGCTGTGCTGTCAGCTAAGAGGAATTCTTTTACTCTTCCAGACTCCTGCTGAGAAATCGCTCGTCCAGACCACCGCCTTCAAGTCGGTGAACACGACAGCTTCATCCACTGAGGCTGGCCACGTCTTCTGTCCTATGAGGAAAGCAAGCACTCTGAATGTTGGACACAAACAAGACCCCTTAGGTGTTTGTCACCCTTCTGGTAAAAAGTTGCCCTAAATTTAAATGACAAGAAATAATTGTGATGTAATTTCTGCCTTTCAGGAACTCTCTCTGACTCTGGGCGTAACTCAATGTCTAGCCTCCCTACCCACAGCACCAGTGGCAGTCTAAGAGCCTCCACAGGCCTTGTCAGTCAGAATGATGGGAGTTCAGCTCTGCTAAACAGCCTCTGCAAAGGACAACAACCCAATTTTCCTCCATGGGTCAATGGAAATAACGCAAACCTTGAAAGCAGTTACAGGGCTTGTTTAAGCAGCAGTGTGTTGGCGTCTAAGGCTAATGAGGATGCTGGCTCCCCACTGTCTGCAGACGAACCAAGAACTCTTTCAGAAACGGCAGGTGGGATCCGGTCCCCCATAACGACAGATGAGTTGCTGATTGAGCATCTAGAACAGAGACTGCTGGAGAGGGAAAATGAACTTCAGGAGCTGCAGGTACTAAACTTAATGAAAGAAGCACGCAGCATGATCAAAATAAACCTGTGAGCGATTCATTTCTGACTGTTTAACTTCACAACAGGTGAGTTTAGAGTTGAAGGAGGCAGAAACGTGTCATTTATTTGAGGAGAGACAAAAGTTCTGCGCAGAGGAGATGGACGGCCTAAAGCAGCGGTGCACCACGCAGCTGCGAGAAGTGTCTCAGATGAATGCAAAAACCCACCAGGCTCTTCAGCTGCAAGTTTGCTACCTCCAGGTCAGCTCCAACTTGACTCTCATCCTTTTACTCATCCACAATTCTACTTATGATACAGTAAATGATGCAATAATTTATTTGAGAAGCAAAGCGCTGGGAGGTGTACATCCTGCAGGAAATTGTTAAGTGGGAATTGTGTTTTTCTGCAGAAAGAAAATGGGAAGCTTCAGGAAGATCTCTCGAAGCTGACGCAAGAGAAGGAACTCGTTGAACTCAGACTGAGGTCATATGAGAAAGAGAGCACCCAGCTGATGCCAACACTCGAGGAAACCCAGTGGGAGGTTGGTGGAATATGTAGCCATATCAGCCCATATAGTTGTAACTTATAGGCTAGTTGCAAGTACCAAGGTATCCCAAGATTTAAAGAAAACTATGATTGAGTAAACCTGTCTGAGGACCAGAGTTTTCTGTTGCCATATGCAGCAAAGAGTAACGTCAGACGGCCCCTTCCTCACCTGTTGCTGTGTACTGCTGTCGAGTTGGCTGAAATAAAGTGAATACACTTTTTGATTGTTTACAAAACAGTGAAATTTGGTAGTTTGGGGACATTTACAGACATAAAAACAAGAACAGATACAGTGTGGAAATGAGCACCACCAGAGTCTACCAATGCCATTAAGGTGCCCCCCACTGACTCCAAATTGTACTGTCATGAACCGAGAACCATGTTGGTGAATGCAAAATAAATGACTGTTCTTTTGGATAAAAAGAAAAAAAAATCTCTCTCAAATATTTCCAAAGTAAGTTATTTTGTTTTTCTCTGTTCTACCATTACTGGCCAAACTTGTGTACAAGGTAGACCTTTTTGTGTATTGAGAATGAATGCAATTGTATTCAAAACAAAAAATCCATCTAAAACAACTACAAACCAACATATACAACCAACTGTGCCGGAAAGAAAGCTTGCTGGACGAATTTTAAAGGACCTGGACAGAATAGGCACACATAGATACTAAAATTTGATTGGAAAGGATGCAATTTCTATTGATAATTATACCGTAAAGGTCACAATAATATTGAGCTACAATTGGAAAGAATATATCTTGCCACTGCTAAAATATGTTGTAGTTTAAGGAAAAGGCTTAACTGTTCTCCATTGTCTTCCAAATTCAAATGTTCAAAATAGAAACCGTGACTTCCTTCTTTTATTATCGTCATCATCTCTGTTGAAATGTAGGTGTGTCAGAAGTCAGGAGAAATCTCTTTATTGAAGCAGCAACTGAGGGACTGCCAAGCGGACGTGAGCCACAAGCTAAACGAGATTGTAAGTCTCAAAGCATCACTAAAGGAAAACACAGCAAAAGTGGAGAGGCTCGAGCAACAGAACAAGGACTATGAAGACAAACTCCACTCATGCACCAGAGAGGTTGAGGTCAGTACAGTTATTTTCTTGAAAACACAAATTGTTCACAAAACACTCTATTTTTAAAGTGAAGTACACTATCCTGTTCCTGAACCTGACTGTAACCTGCCAAAATAGAACTTTCTTTTTTTTATTTTTATGTTGCAACTCATAAATGCAATCCTCACTTGTAAATTTAAGGGAACCTTTAATAGGATCAACAATTATTAGCTAACAAAAAATATATATATTATCTTCTCTTTGTGTTTTTTCATTTTTGCTTAGGTGTGCCAAAATGAACTTCAGCGCAAAAAAGTTGAGGCCAATTTTCTGAGAGACAACGTCGGCAAACTGGAGCAAGACATTCAGCAAGTCAAACAGGATCTTGTTACAGCTGAAGAGCAGAAGCTGCAGAAAAGTATTGAACTTAAAAATCCAATCCAGGAGTTAGACTCCCTTGACCAGGTACGTGGGTCAGAGAACAAGAAGTGCATTTTCACCGGATCGCTCCAAAGAGAAGTGGAGAGACTGAAGCAGGAGCTCAGAGAGGAGAAGAATGCTCAGGAGAAACTGGTCTGCAGCTTTGAGCTGGAGAGGCAGACTTGGAACCAGGAGAAAGACAGGGTGATCAAATACCAGAAGCAGCTCCAGATCAATTACCTGCAGATGCACAAGAAGAACAAAGACCTGGAGAGGATCCTGAAAGAGCTGACAGCTGAGCTGGAGAGCCGAACTGAGCTGGGCTTGGACTTCAGATACAGTGCAGGGTTACAAACTTATGAGGATGTCATTGCCACAGAGATTTGAGAGACGCAGCCATTTGTATCTTTTCTAAAAACACGAACACAGTTTGACACTTACTTCAAGCACTGACTTTTTTATATATAGCTTAGCTTATTTATTCAAATGTGGGTATTATAGAATAATCAATACTACTGAAAATAGTCATTGATTATCACATTGTTCTTACTTGTTTAAAAGTAAATGATAGATTTTTATGTTTAAATTTGATTGTTTTTCATTATCCTGTCCAACAACAACAATTGTGGTTTTAATTTGATGTAATGGTTCAGAGAAAGTGTTTATATGTTAACAGTAATGTCTTATAAAACAATGGAGTCATCATGATCATTTTAAATATGTCCTTCTATGACAGTAAGACAAGGTCTTCTGTTATAAATTAGCACTGATTTTTCTTGATCTGTCTGTCTCTGTATATTTCCACCATTTTCTCTTTTAAGCAAAAAGTTAGAACTTTTCAAATAAGCACACATATCTGCAAGTGCTTCCCTTTATTTCACTGATGTGCTGTAAACAGTATTGACCTAAAATACATGTTGTAGTCACCTTTAACAAGTCATGTGTTTTCATCCTAAAAATAAAATACTCGCATATGGAAAAAACCCAGCACATTTAAAATATAATTCTCCCTCTTTAGCTCTTGTAAAATGTAACTTTTCTTACAGCATTTCTGTGTTTAGTATATTTATCTTGCCAATAAAGATGGTTATTTGTGTGAACGTCTCATATGATATATTTACAGCTGAAACCAGATATTTTCATAACCTGTATAAATTCCTGATTGTCCGACATGAAATGTGACAGAACTTCTCAGTTAGAATTATAAAAATTATAAAATTATTTTGGTTGTCTAACTTCAAGAACCATACATTTTGAATATTTCTTCAAATTTACTTAATTCACATTTTCTAAAAACATTGTCAGGAGAGAGAGCCGGGTTAGAATATACACCATTCGGGTTTATGGAGGTGGACTGTACACTGTAATTTCAAAGTAAGTGTTGCCATCAATGGAAACCAGATGAGTCTAGATAGTGATGGAAGGTAGAGTCTGATCAGAAGATAGAACTACATGAAATTCTAATTCAGTTTATTAAAAATGCATTATTCACAAGAGTCAAAGTGGACATGGCAACTTCGGAGGAGTTGCAGCAATCCATAGCTCAGTAGAGAGAATCTGTTAACAACTATTAGTTGTGCACTACCCTTTGTTGGACTATCAAAATTTGCTTTAACTACACAAGGCATGCGGTTTTATCAAAACAAAATGTAAAAATGTTTGAGAATACTAAACAAATCTCCATGGAATATTATTTGGAGATGCAGTGGTCTGAGGGGTCTGCAGTACAAGACCCCAACATCCACAACCTTTTGTTCTCTCTTTTTTTGTCTCAACTAAAATTCTGTTCATTTTAGTTGAAGGGGAAAATATTTTTCACTAACTATTTGTCCAGGTTTTTATCGAGCGCGTACAAAGTGCACCTTCTCCATCCACTTCACACTCAGGGGACCACTGAAAGATGAATAGGCACACACAATGTTAGTTATCTGCTAAAAAGGGATAGTTTAGATTGCTTTGCTACCCACCAGAGTCTTACATTACCTCTGAAAGTCAGGAGAGATTTAGAGTCAGACAAATTTATTGGAACTGAGGTGCTGTGACCACTGGCTGAGAAACTGAAGTGACTGATAAGACCTTCACATCACTTCATTCAAAGCCTCTGTCAAGGCATGTGCGGAGGCAATCCCAAACGCAGCCCTCAACTCCATCGTCAGACAGGTAGAGGTAAAAAATACATTTGATTTTAATGAAAACAAAAGGAGCTGTACAGGCAGTAGTTCAAGAAACATAAAAGCAGAAATGTGAAGTCAAGCATTGGAAAACAAAACTGGCTTTGACATTAGGTGAGTGCTAAGAAAAAAAAGGAAAGACGAGAAAGAAAAGAAGTAAGAAAAAGGTTCAACGACACACAAAGAAAACGACTCAGGGAAACCTGTGGTGTTAAAATACAAGGCCTTATTGTGGGTATAAAGTAGAAAAGGATACATGTATTGTCTATTAACAAAACTTACACCATGATACACAGAAATCAAAGTAATAAATTAAGTAGAGATTGCTGAATGACACAAGGACAATGAACATGCTCGATGTAATTGACTAAATAAAACTAGAATAGAGAATCCTTTGTTGATAAACATTGGTAGCATGCATTGCTCAATTGTGTCTTTGAGCAGTTCTACCTGACAAACTGTGTTTAAATCTTAAAGTTTCTGGAAGTCTCTCCTCCCACTCTGATCTTTTTCATTTGGATTCAAGTCAGACTGACTGAGGCATTCTTGCGGCTTTATTTCCTTTTTCTGAAATCAACGTCTTCTGTGGCTGTTTGTTTGGGATCACTGTCAGACAAAAAAAAAATGTCCCTCTTTCATCTTCTTATCAAAAAACTTGTATTAAATTTCTCCATGCGTCCTGTCTTCAGTTATATAAAGTCTCCCAGTATCGTACATGCTTTGTGGTACTGGTAGCACTCTAACTGTAATCTTCACCGTTGGTGTGGCGTTCTTGGATGGTCGCTTATATCCCAAACACATCTCCAAGCATGTCCCGAAAGCAGCAACTAACTTTGAGCAGGCTTCATTGGGTTTTGTCTTTAGCAAAGGAGTCTTGTGCAATGAGTTTATTCTTCAATGCCTATGTCAGAAATCTTGCGTGAATCATTTGGCCATGACTGGTCTATGGTGAAATTGTTGTTTTTTGGGTTTTTTTTGCATCTGTAGATTTTGATTCGAACCATGTTCATTGGAGAATTTAGGAGTATGTCTGTAACCAAAGTTACTGGTTGGTTGTCTAGTATGAAAGTTGGGGAAGCCAAGAGAGGAATCTTAGATTTTACCAATCATGAGAGACCTCTTAGCCTTCATATTGGCAAACCCATCAGAGAAAGCCTTTCACATGATATGGACTAAAGGATTGCTTTCTACATACACATATACATACACATATAAATCAATCACATATAAAAAAAAAAAAGCTGGTGCTTTTCTGCATGTTTGTTTTCTCCTGTGTCTTCATACCAATAGCACTGTTAGAAATATATTTAAAGGGAGAAAATCTGCAAATTAATTAGAGGCCGCACAAGTTTCAGCAAATATTGACAGCTTTGGAGGAAGTGCTGGTAAATTATGAAAGGCTTCACAAGATCTTGATGCTGTTTCTTAAAAAAAAAAAAAAAAAAAAAAACAAAGTCCTTTGTCAATCAATCAATGCATGATATAGAAGTGTTTTTCCTTTAGTTGACTGGCTGTCTTATCTTGCCCTATGATTCATTTACAAAAATGATTGATTTCTTTCTTCTGTGTTCAAGGGTATAAGGTGAGCAGTGTTCAAGCATCAATGTTTTCAACCAATTTCTAACTAAAAAATTATTTTATGTCACCTTTTGCTGAAAACTGAATGGATTAAGCAAATCAATTAATTCTTCACCTATATTTTGACACATTTCTAAAGCAGACTTATCAAAAGAGCAATTTTCTGTAGTCTGTCAAACTGAATGATGTGTATATGACCTCAAAACCCACATTTTGTTTTCTGGTTTAGTTCATAAACTGTTAAAATATTGCAGACTGTTCCTACTTATGGAATGTATTTTGAGAGGGGAAAGAAAAAAAACAACTTGTCAAGAAAACACTAAATGTCAGCTTACTCGAAGCTCTCTCCTACTGCACTCTTTGTCAGTCCCTCATTACCATTCTCCATTGCTCTTGGAACTTAAATAAGAATATTGTTTCCCTCTCCATCTAATTATGTAATTTCTGCTTTTTTGACAATGCTTCCTCTCTCACACAACAGCTCGTCGTGTCGCTGCTTCAGTCACAAATGAGCTGATGGGACCAAATCAACACTGAAATCAAATTAAGGTCCATTGTTGGTGCGTGTGACAAGAAGGGAAAGGGAGTTGGGGGGGGGGCTGGATGGGAATTGAGGGGTGCACATCGAAGAGATAACACAAATTGGTTTGGCATGAAAGAAAATAACAGAGTTGGGAGGATGGGGGGATATTTTTTCTCGAAGTACCCAACAGAATTTGTGTGTTTTGTTTTTTATTTATTCTCACTGCACTTTCATTTGTGTCGCATTTTTAAACTCAAATTAACAGTTTAAGAGATAATGGTTAAGCTTGGAGTATTTTTTTTCCAGAAAGGTCACCATCAGCATCACTTTTGGTGGACATTTGGTCTAGCAGATGTCCCCGGGTGATTGGACAGGCAGCCGTCAGAGGACACTCTGTGATAACTTGGCCCTGCCTGCCCTGCTGTGACATGATAATAATGTGCTCATATCCTGCTGTGACTCTCCTGATCGGCTGACAGTTAAGCACAAAAAAAGGTCTGGATTCATTAGTTACAGAATGGCGCTGCTGCAGACCTGTTTTGCATTCAAATTAAGGATCCCTGCTTTTTATTTGCACTGCCAGTAAACTTAACACGTTCATAATTTCAAACATTGGCTGAGAAACAAATATATTGCACCCATATACAAGTGTAGTTTGGTCTATTTCACATCAAAACAGTCACCTCTAAGATTATAGTAAATACTCTATGCTGGTAAATAATGAATGAGTCAATAACACTGTATCAGTTTCTACCTCTCCCTCATTACTCACTGCGCACTCACATACTCAAATGTGCTATAACCCTGCTGTATCCCTGAGCAATTAGTTGCTCCAAAATATCAGGGGGATAGTTATTCAGGCACGTATTTCATATTTTATTAGTTTACTCTGAGGCTTGCATGCAGACCAAGCTTTAGCAAACACAGCCTTTGCAAATTTCCCAAGCTCCTCTGCAGTCAGCAAGTAATTGGAGAGGGAGTCCCAAAGGGTCCTCTTGTATGCCGCCGAAGCCTTTGCCTCCTGACAAGTTGAAATGGCAATGGGGTTAGATATGGAGGTATAGAGAAGTGTTCGTGTGCAAGCATTTGTGTCTGTATGTGTGCATGCGAAAGAGGTAGAAGAGTGGGAATTGGGTAGATTAGTCTGTGTAAATAACTGCAGTTTCTGGACACTCGCTGGTTGGCTGGGAAGCCATCTGGTTCCCCAACCCCACCGCCAAGCAGTATTTCCAATGAATTTTGACGTCTTTGGGGATGTCAGAACTTGTCCTTGGGGGGATTTGTTTGGGGAGGTGGGGAGGACACAGCATGAACACCAATTTAAGCCCCTGCCGGTGAAAATTAGTTAATTAACTCTATCTCTCACACGGAGAGAAAGTCCCTTTGTAATGAGGTCTGCCATTCAACGCAATCCAAGCCTTTTATACCGAAGTGTTGCCAACTATCAGCTAGTGAAATTAGCAGGAGCAGTTGAATGCAGGACAAAAAGCTTTAGAAGCGAATCCACAATATTACATAACCTAAAAACTATAAAAATGGTTTGAAGCTAATCTTGGAATTAGAGGTTGAACGGAAAAACACTTCACAGCTTTAAGCCATATGTCTTTTCTACAGCTGGTACAACTGCTAGAAGTACCAGCAGCAATCAAAACATGATTGCAATGCAGATTAAGATTGAGACTAACGAACAAATAACAAAACACAGATAGACATTTTACGTAAATGCAAATGGGTATTTAATTTACAACAATTTCTCAATTAAAGTTCATCAAGTTTTCACACTGATTCTGTGTACTGACACAAAGTGGTCGTATCCCTCAGTGATGATAAAACGTAGGTGGGTTGCACTGCATCCCTTTAGCTAAAGGATAAAAACACAAAAAAACAATAAGCTTCATTTTTAGAACATAATGGAATGACAAACTTTTGAAACAAAAAAATAGCCTTTCAACATACTGAAATAGAATTCAACTGGAGGTGCCCCTCAGTGTGTTCCAACTCTGTGAAGAAAATTAATGGCTCAATCAGTTGCAATTTTTTGGGACTTCCGATACAAATGTGAAACTTACAAAAATGTGAACCTACGTACATCTCACCTTTCTGTGTGACAGGCTCAAAGTTAGTTGCATTTGGTGAGGTATTCCTCTCAATCTTTAGATGCTTAACTGTAACAGAACAAAAAAGCAAACAAAAAAAAAAAAACAGATGGAGAATCAAATAATCAAAGGGCACAAACTATGTTCAGCGGGTAGAGAAAAATATACCAATAATGTTTTGAATTGGTAAACTGGGGCTAGAGCATGTTTTCCCTCATCAGAGTTAAATTTACCTTTTATATCTTTAATCGGTTGGTATTGTGTAAAACCAAGTTTTTGGAAATTTATATTATGCTATAATAACATTATTCCCTCATTCTTAATGAGGGAATAACTCATTAATAATGAGTTATATTTTGATCATGTTAAACCAAAGTTTGAACAACTTAAGATTTAACAGAAAAACAAAAAAAATCTGCATGGTGTAAAACCCAAGGTGACACCAGCAACCTCAAATCCTTAAATCTCCCATGGCAGCTAGTTATTTCAGCTTTCTTTCAGGATTCTTAATCATCTTTGGGTGAGCTTTTTGCACTGACTGAAAGTTTTCACTCATCTGTGACAGTTGTCTGGGCTTTTGCTTCATTTATGTTATTTACTTTGTTTTGCTTGATATGGTCTTGTACGTTCGCTAAAGTTCTCTAACAAACTTCTAAGCCCTTCCCAGAACAGCTGAAATTGTAACAATAAGTTATAAGTAGGGGGACTGATTGCAATGTATGTGTCTTATGAAGACATTAGCTTGAATGGGATTTAATTAAATTGTAATTGTAAAGAGGGACAAAAGTGCTTGATATGTTTCTCAGATTTTCATTGCTCATAGAATCCCAACAAGATACAATAAAGATGTTGGTACGTGCAAACGTGAAAGGCTGAAGTGGTCTGAATACTTTTGAAATGCAATGCACGGTTATATATGCGCTTTCATTTCAAAGCAGCCTATGACTAATGCAGCTGTATGGTGTAAGTAGCTTCCTGCGAAACGAAGCAGTAAGCGAAGTCTCATACTGTTGTAGCTGTCCATTGTCACGGCAGAAATGTTGGTCGTTTCAGGAAAGCGAATGATGAACTCCTGAGGAAACATCCCGGTGGACATCCAGAACGTTTTATCATTTCTGAAGAAAAACGGGAGACTTAAGCAACAGCAAAGCACGTGGCTCATTAAGAAATGCTAATTAACTGCGTCATTATGTAAGGGGTTTTGACAGATCATTAATATAGACAGATAAAGCACTCACCCGTCAGTGATGTTTTCTGGTGGGTGATTCTCGTCGCTGGATGAAGCTAAAACAACGTGTGCACCAGAAGAATCAATCATTACTGTTCACTCAAACTGTGTGAAGACAGCAACGACGGTCTCGAAAACAATATACGTCAACTAGTACGTTTTCTCTTTGGGTTTTCGGGATATATCAAGCTATCACCGTTGCCAAGCCAACCGTTCCGTCGCGCAATATGTACGTCACGTGTTTCTGAACGTCACAATTTCCGACCCACGTTGCTAAACTAGCTAAGGGCTAAATCGGAATCCTGACTCCGGCGTCTGCAAATGGCGAACGGATGCAAAGAGGTGTTATTTGCCCGTGGAACTGGACAGGCAAGTTGTAAAACATTTCTCAGAAAAATATTAAAACACATTAGAATTATTTTCAGGTTGCAGCAGGTTTGTTTTATGTGAAGCTAACACGCTAAGATATGAAACTAACGTTGAGTCCAGCTAAATTGGATAACAAAGGGGGGAAAAAGAAATAAATTGAAATACTACGTACACCTGATAGCGCCAAATCTGAACTCTTAAGTGTTTTTTTTTTTTATGTAAAGTTGTGTATATCATGAATCAAGAGAAGTTCACTATAGCAATACAGCATCGTATATGGGTAACTTTTTAGGAGTCTGGCTTGAAACATAACTAAATAATTCCAAAATCTTTGATCAAATGCATGGGTACCGATGTTTTTGTCGTCTTTCAGAGTGATGATTCAGACATCTGGGATGACACCGCACTTATAAAGGCATACGATAAAGCAGTAGCATCTTTCAAGGTAAACTGGGTGCGCGCTGGTTTTGTGCTCATGCAAAAGCAAAGACGACTGCTCCACTGCCTTGGTCTTCTCTCTTTCTGTGTCCCAGACTGCTCTAAAAGGCGAAGATGAATCACACGCGTCAAAGAAAAACCAACCAGGAAAGAAACGAAAGAACAATAAAAAGAACCAGAGCAGAAAACGTACCAATGCACCACCTGATAAAGAGGTAAAGAACTGCCATCTGTCAGCTTTTAAATCTGCATGTGCAATGTAAAGCACAAACATAATTATTCTTTGTGAACATTCCTGCCCTAACCTTCTTAGTTTGTGTCAAGCATTTGCAAAAACAAAAAGGCTTTGCTTTTAGATATCATTTCTACATAAAGCCATATGCAGAAATAGTTATCTGTATATTCCTTCAGATTGATGTTTCAAACATTTGATAACAATTAACTCAGCGCAGCTAAACTAATTTTTTAATTACATTCATTTGGATTACTTGTTTAATATTTTTTTGTGTGTTACTTTTTAAAAATTACAATGCAACATTTTAAATCGAGGTCAAAGTTCACCATCATTTATAAAGTTTGACATACTTGACAGTCTTTTCCTACTTGTTAATTTTACATCCATTTGTTTCACTGACCTACCAAATGTTTGGGCGACAATTGTTGGTGAAAGTTAGTCCTTGAGAAATGTATGTATTTCTGTGTCGGTGTGATATCAGACACTGGTCAGCCTTCAAGGTAAATTAACACAATTTAGATAAACGTATAAATCAACATGACTATAGTTGGTTCTTTAATGATAAATGCCTGACTTACAAAATAATATCAATATGAAAAAAATATTAAACTTAAACTGCACCTTATAAATTAATTTAAAATGCAATATTAAAAAAAAAAGTTTATAGTGGAGTTGCCTTGTATCTACACCATGCTGAACATAAGTTTAATGCCAAGATAATTATAAACTACAAGAAACATTCAAAACGAGATTAAAATCTTTTCATTAATGTTTTCCTCTGAAAGGGTATGCATCCTGCAACTTCAGTGCTTCCAATGGCTTCTAATACGTTTGGCTAACGATTTGACAGAATATCTCCATTGAAACGCAACAAAAAACACAAAAATCTATCATGTTTTATAGCACATAGTGAGTTGAGTTAATGTTTTGTCCAAATCTTGGTCATTTAAAATTTTGACCAGTCAAAAGCAAACTACTAAGCTCTATTATATTTACTTTGTTTTGTGTTGCAGTGGCAGGTTGGGGACTCTTGTAGTGCTTACTGGTCAGAAGATGGCCAGCTCTATGTGGCCACCATCTCCTCCATAGACCAAGAGAGAGGCACTTGTGTAGTTGTTTACACTGGTTATGGTAATGAGGAGGAGCAGAACCTTGACGACCTGCTGTTGGAGATTTCAGAGGCTGATGAAGCAGCAAATCCTAAGGTAAGCTAGTTCAGAAATGAACTGAATATACTCCAGAACTAACATTTATAATACAGTTTATAGTTCATTATTTTTATCTGTGCCTTGTTTGCCTTTTTTTTCAAATCCTCAAATGTGTTTCTTACAAAATTTTCTTCATCAACTTTAGAAAAAAGTAACTATAAAAATATCTACTACTTATAGGAAAAAGTGGAAGAATCTTCTACAGAGGAGAGTGACAGGTCGTCCACACCAAACCAACACAAACAGCATCCACACGGTAAAACCCAGAAGTCCAAAGCTCACAAACACCCATCTTCTATGTGGCCTCCCGGTTTCCCCGGGTTTCCCCCTGGACCTCCTCCAATGCATGATTTTGGACATGTAAGAAATAGCACTTATTAAAGAAGTTGCATTTTTATTTGATTCTCAACAAACCTGTTTGGTTCCAGAATGCTTTGTTTTTATTATTTTGAGGATTGATTTATTCTTCTCAAAGTCAGTGAGAAAGTTGTCTCGTTGTCGTATTAAGTAAAACACAACGTAACTAGTAAATTGCTTACAATGAGGCAAATTAAACAGGACCATAAACAAAGCCCTCTCAGAGTTGACATTTATTGTGGAGGTATTGGATTGCAGTAAATTCAACTGGCACTTGGCTTGATGGTTTGTCTTGCTAACACTTTCAGTTGCATGTGATATATTTCAGAGTTAAAACTACAAGGTCTGAAGTACCTGTGTCTGCACCCGTTTTGTTTTAGATGAAGTTTATTTAGGTTAATGTTGGGACCTTTTTTTTTTTTTTTTGACAAACCAGAGTTTGTCACTTACCGAGTCATTTTTAAAAATTTCACAGCCGTGTGTCTTTTTGGGGGGTTTCCTCACAGAGGGAAAACAGACGATCTGCTGGTCATGGACCTGTACCTCCATCCTGGCCTCCGATGATGCCTTTTGGTCCTCCTGTAAGTTTTAAGTTCAAAAGCATGGCATAATTTTCACTGAAAAGATTCAAAAAAATATCAGGATTAATTTGATCTGAGAAGTACTTGAGAAATTAAAATATAAACTTAGAAGAGAATAAGCCTCACCAAAGAGAAATAGAGGTATGATAACATAGAAAGAATCTTTCAAATTAACTGCTGCACAAAGGTTTTATTGGTGGTAATGTTGGAAACAGCTGGATATAGAGGTCAATAGTGCTTTAAAATATAAAGTCTGTTACATTGTCTGCTGTCTGATCACTTTCTGTTCCTCAGATGATCCCTCCACCTCCACCAATGAGTCCCGACATGGTGGATGATGAAGCCTTGGGTAGTGTGCTCATATCCTGGTACATGAGCGGATATCACACAGGATACTACCTGGTATGTGCTCAGAGACCAACTGGCAGGTTAAGAACAATAACTTGAGATTTGTAAATCTCAATAACTTGATTGATGTAGCTTCACTGGTATATGTGAAATTCCTGGATGACTTGCTTTGTGAAGAGGTTATGAGCTGTTAATATCTTATCTACTGTACATTGCTCTCTGCATGCCCATACTGTGGATAAAATAAATGTACACACATGCTTTGGTGAGTCAAAGCAGGGCTGAGGATCAGAAACACTGAAACAAATAAAATGACAAGAATGTCATTATCGCAATTAAGCACTTTAGAATAGACTTTTTCCCTTTACATTGCTGTCAATTAGACTGGTATTTGGCCAGGTTGCATTCAGTGTGTTCTACTTCGAATTGCAAATTTTATATACGTCATTGGTAAAGTTCTGCAAGTTATCGCATTTCTCATCTAGGCATCAGATTGTCATGCGTACTCAAGCATGAATTAGTTAGTATTGTTTAAAAATTAAAAATTAACTTTTTTCTACAAAAGTCTGCCATTCAACACAATTCAAGCCTTTGCCAACTATCAGCTTGTTAGTAAAACGGTTAAAAATATACATAAAATGTCTGGTACTTCTGCTATTTATAGTGCAACAGAAACATTACAAGCTAATATTTGCTGGGTACTTTGTTGGGCTATCTGCTCAGGCTGAGTCATACGCCACACAGATATGTCACTGGTAGTCTGCCAAGTGTCATTTTAAAACTGTTGTTGCACAAGGACTACTGTCTACACTTGTCAAAAAAAATACTTCATTTTTTGTCGGTTAAAAAAATTCACGCCAGCTGCATCAGGTTCTGCTGATGTAAGCTTACAGCAGGAGAGCCTGGTCATCCTTGTTGAACAAGTCAAAGCTCCTGATAAAACAATCTACAGTAGAAATTCATCTTTTTTTTTTTATCTTCAGCTCAGTCTTTCCGACATGCGCTCACACACGTGCGACACAGCATGGGGCTGCCAAAGTGTTTCCGCCTTTATTAAAGGAAAAGTTCTGGCACACTTCAAACTTCTACACCATTACTGTCTGTGTTTTTCAAGACCTCATATTTCCAAGTAGCTGACTTAACATTTCTTGTGAGGAGGGAAAAAAATATATATGCACCTTGTTTCTGTCGGCTTACTGACAGTTTGCAGCACTATCTGTGTAAGGATGTGGATCCTTTAGTCTGTGCAGGTAGATACAATTCTTGTCATTGTGGCACCTTTTATGCCACAATAGTTTTTATGGTAACTTGTCTTTATTCATAGGAGTGGACTCAATTAATAACTAATAATATAAACCCTGACAATAATAATAATAAAATGATGATCTGGTATTCCAATGAAAGTATGATCTTTGTTTTTGTAGGATTTTGTTATCTTTCTATACTTTAAGTTGGTACTGGAAACTCTTCATTACTTCTCAACAGAACTCCATAATATCCAGCAAGTCTTTAATGACTCTAAAAAGCTTGAACAATTGTATTTTTTCTCATAAAAACAGGGTTTGAAACAAGGACGGAAAGAGGCAAACAAGTGGACAAAGCTGCACCACAAGTGAACATCTCCAGTGTAGTTTGACTGTGGGCCTCCGACGGACCGTGAAACAAAAGTCTGAGTTATGTTCTCAAGAAATCTTTGAAGATAATGTTTTGTATTCTTTGTAAATAGACTAAATAAAAATTGTGAAAGTTTACAGAAGTTGGCTTGATATTTGGTTTGTGACTCCATAAAAGAAAAAAATTGAAGGCCATGCATAGTTATAGCTGACCAGGCTTCAAATTCCTTTAACGGTTTAAGGTGGGAGTGTAAAATGTTCATAACTTCTCAAGCTTTACTATGTTTGTTGTATACGTCTTATATCACATTCAGAGGTTAAAGCTGCGGTTGCACCTTGATAAAACTATATAGATTTATTACAGTGCAAAGCTTTACAATGTTTAGTTAAAATATCAATGTCAGTCTGTGCAATGTTTATATCCCAAAGGACTGTTTGGAGAACAATAATTGTTGTCTAAAATATTCAGTGTTATGAGCTTGCATTTTCAATATAGTAGCAGCCAGTTAGTCTCACAACAACAGATGCTCACAAATGACCTTGACAAAATGCTAAGAGTAGGAAGAACAGATGAGAAAGAGAAAGGAAGGAAATAGGCATATCTGCTTTTATCCATGTGGCTTGTCTGTCTTTTTCTTCTTTTTCCTTCCAGTCCAATTTCTGATGATTGGCTGGAGATTGGACAACTATCGCCTAAAGCAATGAGTTGTTCATGGCTTACCGTATGAGCGGAAGGTGACTGACTCGTTGCTGCCTCTCCACATGGCAGTAACGTTGAAGCTTAACCAAACTAGAAGGCCCAAGTCAGCGCGTTACTTTTGTCTTTTGAGCTAAAGACTGAACCCTGGTTGAGGCATGGAAATGAATCCTTTCTGGGATTACTTGTGACATTTTTTTGTAATATATTTCAGTAATTAAACTACTTTGTATAATACATGCAGTCTACTTTTGCTAAGCTTTTCCTGGAGCTGCATGTCTGTGACTCAATGGAATCTGCTGAGTTTTCTAAAAAAAAAATTTCACAAATCTCAAAAGTAATTTCAACTTGACTGTTTCATAGTGAGGATCAAGCTGGAGTTTATGAAATTGACTCTGAATCTATCCAGTGTCACTGAATTAACTTTTGAAATTGACTCTTTGTGTGTCTTGACATTGAATATTTGCTGTGTATCGGTGCTGTATCAATAGACAAAGTAGAAAACGAACGTATGTTCTCGCCAAACGTTGGGTGTGTTGTGTGCAGATGATGTGAACTCGAGCTGCCGAAATCCAAAGTGTGGAGAAACCGTGACAGTAAATGCGTGAATCTGGAGCTGAGAAAAGGAAAGTTTAGTTGACAACATTTACATCAATCAGAAACTCAAGGATGTTTGGTTGCAATTGCAAATATTGTCCAGCAGAAGTCAGACTAGCGTAATGAACTGCAATTGTCAGAACATGCTGTATGAATAGGTTGATTTTTCAACTTGAGCAAACTGGAAGCCACACACCAAAGAGAACACTTGTCTGTGAATGTATGTCAATACGCACCTCATCTCTCTTTGGCGCGCCGCTCTGATTTGTGATTGCAAGCCATACTCGACTACAGTTTTATTTCCTCTGATGTTTCCCGCACAGTCAAATTCAGGAAATCGTTCCAGTTTACGGCTGGCATCAGAGCATCTCCTGTTTTTCCCCGGAGGTGTCCCCTCATCTCCCAGCCTCATATAGCAGCACATCCATCATAATGTTTTTCAGCTCACATCAAATGGGTCTGCACCCTTTGGGCATTAGTAAGCAGTGCTTTAGCTACAGCTGTGAGATACCAGCCAGCTTTGTGGATTAAAAAAGAAGGATTCCTAAAATCACTGGGATTTGAAAGAAATTTAGTCTTGATGCCATTTACACCTGATAGATTCACCGCCTTGGACATTTTTTCTAAGGAAAATTTGTCTCCCTTTAACTTGTGGTACAGAGTTTGAAAAAATTTAATTCACAAGTCTTAATATGATGGGTTATCACTTATTTTGTTCTTCTTTTGAATCTGGACCATTTGAGCTTTAGCAACACAAGAACAGAGAAGAAAGTAGTGCAAAGGCTGCAGATACTTTGTGCATGTGTATATTTAGAATTCAGAAAACCACATGTAATTACAGTGGGAATAGAAACATTCGCTCCGCTCTGCTTGAAATTCTTTCATTCCCTGAAAGAAAGGCCTTGCAGATTTCCCATATTTCCCACACACGTAATTTGCTGCCCACTTACACCCGCTGCTCTGGCTCAGAACTGGCGGGCAGTGGCTCATGACATGTGTGAGTTTGTGTGTGTACAAGAAAGAAAACATAATGAGTCTTTGTGTTTGGATGTAACAGCATGATTGTCTTTATTTTTTTATCCATGTGATCCTCCTCCAGCTGCTCCAAAGCCATTGCTTTCTGGGTGAAAAGCGGCCCCTTTGTTTGTATACAGACTGCAGTCTGCGCTTTATAGCCCACTGTGATTTCCCATATTTATGACCATATTTGCTTCTTGCTGAAGCCCACTCTTGTTTTTGCTGTTTTGTGCAGAAACCAGAGAAGAAAGAAGGATGCCAACAAGAAAAAAAAAAAAGTAGTTTGTGGTATTTACAACTTGAATATGCACCGTACACGAAGAGTGATAAGCTAGAGTTATCTTTTCCCCCCAGACGGGGTTCAAATCTGCCACAGCAAAAGCCTACACATAAACCGATTGCTTGCCTGACTCTGCAGCAAACTAAGCTGCCCAAAGGGCCCAGGAGAAGCCCAGAAAGGAGTTAAAAAGGGGTCCGACCTTGCTCGGGAAGGCATCGCTCCCCTTCTGTGACTGTCAACCCCCTACTGACCAATGAGGCATGAAGCGTGTAAACATAATCTGCATTTTGCATAGTCCCTTCTAGGAAACATACAGACATCCAAGTAAGATCACACCGCTGCATGGGCTTCCAGGCCTTCAGCTATTTACTCAAGCTTCAAACATTCAAGCAAAATTGTGTGTTTGCATTTAAAAAAAAAACTTTGGGGGTTATTAAGCTAAGTAAGTTTATTTTATGGCACTATTTACACACGGAATAATTACGGCTACTTTATTGGGAAGAAATAAATGGAAGATATACAAAAATGAAGCACCATATAAAATAAAATAAGTTGATCATGTAATCTTTAAAAGCAGGATCAAAACAGTGATGCTTTCAGCCGGTGTCTTGACACGGTTACTCTCTTTAGATTTCTTCTCATTTGGCTTTTTTGCCACACATTTTAAATAATTTAATGCCAAGGCCATTTGAATGAAACACTAAAAGCAAAAACAATCTATGATAATATCACTAATGTTAGCACAAACCAAAATGTTATGGTCTATCTCACTTCTTTTAAATTCCCTAGTGTCAAACTGAGAAAATACAGTTTGTTGATTAAAAAGAAAAAACAACAAAAATATATTTACACCAGTGAGCCATTGAAGTATGTTTGTGCTAAGTTGGAAATGTTTGGTGGGAATATTTCTAAGCACAGTGGGCTGATTAAAGGAGCTTTGGAGCTGCCGCACTTAATATTTTTGTCAGTGGCAGATAAGATAAAATGTTTGAGTTGCTAATACTTGAAAACATTAAGCAGACTGCTGTATCAAGTCTGTCTATTATTCATGCAAAAATTAAAATATAATCAGACACGTCAGGCTGCATTTCTTCTTTTCGTTTAGTTTGACTATGCGCATGTTGAAGCATCTACTTTGTAGAGAAGGAGAAAACAAGAGTGAACATCTTCCAGCTCACCGCTTTCAGGTCAGAATGCCTGAGGCTTTATTATTTCTGTCTTCCGGGAATCTCTGACTTTTCTTTCTAGAGCTGCATGGACAGGTGCAGCTGTTGATCAGGGATGAGTCAAAGCATAAAATAGATATTAGAGACTCTAGTGGTGAGACATTGCAATATCAAAATAGAATCTTTCAGGGTATGAAAGAAGAGAAGAACAATGGGAAGAGTCTTTTTGCAAGACATACAAGGCAATACAAAGCACATTCCTGTGGATAAGATTATTTCTCTGAGGATATGTTGGATGTGATCCACAGTATCTGAAAAGATCACTGCCGCCTTTATGGGCTTTGCATCAGTATTGCGTTGACACCCTCTGCAACAGAAGGTGATCTTTGTTGCTCTCTGTGTGGGTTGACCTCCTGGTCAGTGAGAATGATCTGTGATCACCGGCTGAACTTTCAAAATTCCAGTCACAGCGGGTTCAGAAATGTTCCAGCGCCTCCACTAGTTATGATTCACATTACTACTGGATGTCCATGCTCCGCTGCAGATGCTCATAAATAAAAATGCTGTACCATCAGAGTAAAGCCTATGCCGCCAGGTTTACAACCCCTTAAACAGGATGCATTATTGGTACAAAGGAAATTGGAATTCTCAGAGGCTAAATAATAATAATTACACTATAGGAAAGGCTAATGATGGATTAGGCTCCTTCAGCCTTGCACATTTATACATGTTACTATATCTGGCGCATGCACTACCTTGCAAAAGTATTCACACCCTTTGAATAGTTTCACATTATTCAAACTTTCATTTATTTCTTTTTTTAATTTTATGTAATACAGCACAAAGGAGTGTATAATTATGCAGTAGAAGTAAATAGAAATCTGGTTTTTCAAATCATTTACAAACTCAGATGTGAAAAATATGGCATATTCCTCAAGAATAATATGTTTGTCTACAACCAAAAACTCAGTATAATGCTTTGCAATTATTGACTATAAAATGTAAAAATGTAGGGTATGAAAAATGTGTAAAGCTATTTCTTCTTTTGCACCATTTTGAATCATCCAGTTATAAAATCTTCAAGTCTTTGTGTTTAGCATTTGAGAGCTAAACACAAACAGAAAGTTAGCCCTTTTGTAACTTTATACGTTTTTTTTTTTTGTTTGTTTGTTTAACCAGAGCCTTCTTGGTCACATTCTTTGCTTCACAACAGTAAACATTCCTAATGACAAAGCTGGATGGCAGCAGGGTAGTTTACTAAGTGGAGTGTCATTTGGTATTGTCTTGCAGGAATGAACAACCCCCATATTGCTGAAGATGTTGTCTTGAAAGCAGCGTGTAGCTCCAACGCCTGAATGAATTGTTGATGTCTTCACACAA